TGCATAGGAAGCATCCAGGCGCTAGCTAGCGTGCAGGTGCCCGGGCTCTTCCTGGCAATTCAGGTGCAGGCCCCAGATTGTGTGCTTGGCACTGCCTCCTGTAGCCCTCTGAGCTTCCCTCTCCACCAACACATTCCTCTCTGCTAGTGTAAAACTCTGTCTCCAACATGCAAGCCATCCTCCATGCTAAGGATGGAGAGGCCCATTCATCACCACACTGCTAGGCATTGGAAGTGGCTGGCACATACTAGGGACGATTAGGGCCCATGAAATGAGTAAGTGGACAGGCTCTGAAAAATCACAGTCATGTCAGGGGAGGCTGTCACCCTGATTCAGGTTTGTAAGTTGCAAGACACCTACAGGCATCATCATCATCTCCATCATCAATATTTCCTTCTCGCACACAATAATCCAAATGTGTTCATTGACTCCTCTCCAAATGTGCTGGGGAAGCTGGTGAGGATGTGGAAATCCTGGGACCTTTAGAAGACGCCCCCAGCACTGAGCCACCACAGCCCACCAGTTCGTCCGCCCCTCCTCCCACCCATGTGGGACTGAGCCGGGACTTGGGACTTTGCCTGCAGCTGGTTCCACTTGAGCCGGGACTCCCCATCTCTATTAGTGCAACAGGGAATCGGACCCCTTGGGTGTGCCAGGGGCTTTGGGTGCTTTATCTGTATGTCATTCTTCAATCTTCCCAACAACCCCAGAAGCCAGTATGAATATATCACTTTTTGAGGACAGGATGCCGGCTCAGCAAGGCTGGGTTACGTGTCTGAGGCTGCACAGCCTGTGCACAGAGGCGCTGGGTTAGAACCCCTGGCATTTTCCCCTTCTCATCGATTATCAGGTAAACCTGTGTCTTTCTGGCCAACACTTGTCTAGTAAAATGTAATGCGAAGCATGGACAGAATTTTACATTTCCTAGTAGGCACATTAAACAGTAATAAGAAACAGGTAAAATTTAGCTTAATAACTTATGGGGGTACTTCAAAAATCTCAAGGAAAAATAGAATCAAAAGACAATAAGAATCTTTTCATGAACTTTTTGAAGTACCCTTGTATTTTGTTTAACCCAATATATATTGAAAATATTATCATTTCAAAATGGAGTCAATATAAAAATTATTAATGAGACTCACTCTTGTTTTCATACAAAGTCTTTGAAATCCGGTCTGTATTTTGCTGTACGGCACATCTCAGCAGGGACTAGAAGTGGCCAGTGATTGGACAGTGCTGGCGTAGACTGTGATGACTCTGCCCGCCTCATCGGCGTGGGCAGGTTTCCCGTGAGTGGGCACAGGTTTCGCTGCTCAGGACACTGTGCCCAGAGCACACAGGCTTAGTCAGCGATAGCCTTGTTACCGTCCACACTGCAGAGACCCTTCCTACCTGCCATTGCCTCCTGGGCTGTGGTTGGCACCTTCCCAGCCCCTCCCAGATCCCCACCTGGACCCAGGCCACTGCTGTCTTCCCTGCTCCCGTATGGGCACCCACGGTACGCGGGGCAACCCCTTCCCACTGCTCAGCAGGCTCCTGGGAGGAATCCCAGGGATCTGATTGTGCACAGCCAAAGGCAGCCTGCTGGTATTGGGCTGCTCTGCTGGCCTGGAGCAGGGGTCTTCTCTACAACCTGGGGGCAGATAGGTGGGTGTGCTAAAGAGCCAGGAGGTGCAGCCCAGCCCACAGGACAGCGTTTTCTCTCCCAAGGAGCTGGGTGGGCGGAGGCTCACTCCCATGCCTGCTCCCTCACCAAATGCCACGCTGAGGGGAATTCCTCTCAGCGCCTGCTCATGCCAGCCTCCCGCACACGCCATGGACAGGAGGGGCCTGAGCTGGGAGCGGGTGGGCGTGGGGCTTGGGTGGGGGTTGAAATGCTCGCTCAGACTCAAACTATAAACAGGAGGTGTAAAAAAGGCATATTGTTTATGTTCTCTGTCTTTTCTAAAGGGGATAGTTTGCCACATATCAGGTCCACCTTATTCTGCAGCTGGCTCCAGGAATGAAGAGTGAATTTGTGGAACACAAACACAAGATTTATACACTCAGACGCAGCACGCTCAAACGTGCGTGTGCACACACACATACAGCCTTGCACATCCCACACGCATTGACACGGGACAGGGGACATGAGTCTCACCTGTAGACCTGTACGCAGATCATCGCAGACCTAGTGTTTGCCCAGGAATTCATTACCCCAGCATTTGTTTACCCAGTTGCAGGATTCTGGGAGGTTCCCTCAGACAGTCACATGCTCACACTCAGCAGCAGGGACCCCCGTGGGGATGAGGCTGGTAGTTCCCATTAACAGATGAGGAAAGCAAGGTCCGGAGTGGTCAAGGGCACAGCCAGTGGCAGAGCCTGCATCTCAGCCTCTCTGTTCTGGAAGGTGTTGCCCCTGTCACCTGCCTCATTAGCCTGTAAGCTCTGTCAGGGCAAGGACCACGTGCTTCTCATTTCTACACAAGTACCTGGACCAGGGAGGCAGGAGACTGTATTGTAAAGAGCTGGAACTGAATTAAAATACCAGCTCTGTGGATTACTAGCTGTGTGACTTTGGGCAAATTACTTATTCTCTCTGACCTTCAGCTTTTGCATCTACAAAGGGGGAAAATTACATCTGCTTAATAGGATTGTTAAGGGAATTTGAGGAGGTGCTTAGTAAATGTCAATGAATATTTTTTGGATGAACTGAGGCAGGTCTACCAAATATATACAGATATGGCATTTGGCACAGTCCTTGGTACTAACTAAATGTAGCCCCTTCCTCTTAGCACGTGGGGGCCGCTCAAAAAATTCCAAAGGAAGGAAAGAATAAAGAGACGAAAAATAAGTCATGTCTCTAACACACCTTCGTCATCTGTTAAATCCCCAGACGGACCTGGCTGCGTGCCTGGGCTCAGCACTCCAGCCGCTCCCACGTTCTCTCTTCCTGGGCGGGCGTCCCCCTCCTCCCTTACAGAACCTTTGCGGAATCTGTCACATCTGACAGCAAAGTCCTCCCTCACAACTCTACTTCCCCAAAGTTTTCTTGGCAACTCTCACATACTTTTTATTCCATATGAACATTTGCAATCATTTTTTCCATTAAAATCCCACTGGAACTCTTGATTTGCGTTCCCCTCGTATATGAGTTTGGGGAGGATGACCGTGCATGGAGTTTGGCCATAAAGCAAGGCGCTGGGTTCTGAGTGGAGCTTGGCTGTTACCATTCATCTCTCAGCCCACACTGGGGGCTGTAAGGATGTCCTGAGAACTCCAGGGCTATGCTTCTCGAGCTCGTGAGTCATGTAGCAAGCATGGGGTCTGGGGTCCTCAGGTAGAGATTGCATGGAGGAAAGGTACCCCATGCCACTCCCAGGAGCCTTCCCTCTATCCTGCTGTCTGGGTCCATCTGGACTCTCTGCTCCTTGGCTGTGAGACTCCTCTGGCCGAGCCCTCGGTCTGTCCTCCACTCTTGCCCAGCACCGACTGCTCTGGGGACATGACTGGGCACCAGTGTACAGGGACACACCTGCAAACTTCTTTCCTCCTCCCCCTCACTCAGACTCCAGCTACCCTAAAATGCTTACCTCTTCTCCATCCACACCCTGTCCTCCCAGGCATAGCAGCTTGTAAGTCTGTACCCAAATAAAGGTACAGCTGTGCCCAAAGTCTGAAATAAAGGCTGGCTTGGCTCCTTCAGTTGCTCCAGCCTGTAGGAAATGCTCAGCTTCCCCTAACTAGGAAAGCTCTGGAAGAAAGAGTAGGATTCGGCATCAAAGGATCTAAGTTTCAACCCTGGCCACTTATTAATTGTGGGACCCTGGGCAAGTCCCTTACATGCTGTAAGTCTCCCTTTGTTTCATGTGTGAAATGGATCCAATATCTTTTCCTAGGTGGTTCAGGACCAACTAGAGGCAGGCACATGCAAGCTATGGAGGCTGGAACCATGAAACAGACACACTCCCTGCTGCCACCACATGCACTGAGATGCTTGGAGAGTACCCGTCATCCAGCTCTCCACTGGCATCAGCTCTCAGCCTCAGATCTGGTTCAATCAGACCCAGAGCCTTTGAACCCAAGGGCAAGTGCCTTAACCCTGTGCCTTGGTTTCCTCATCTGTCCCTAAGGAAGCCACCAGAGCAGATGGATTAATAACAACCCTCTCTGTCTCTTGGCTTTGCCCCTGGCAGCAGGCCCTGGCCAGGGCTGTGCGATCTTGGATTCAGGGGCTGCTCTGCTGCCCACCTCCCGCCTGCTCTGCACCAGGCTCCAGCACATGCTGCCACGTGTCTCGCTCCCCAGCGCCTTGGACACCTTGTGCCTTCCCCTTGGTGTGCCATGGATGCAGGTGGAGGAGAGAGGACCCTCAGGACACCCCCAGGAACAGCGGGCTTCTGATGCAAGATGTAAGTGTGCACGCTTTATAGACTGCACAGGGCTGCACCCACCCAAGGCAGCAGCAGCTGGTGTTAGAAATCTCCCCAAGCCCTGTTTCAAGTGAGGAGCTTTTGCTGAAAGCTGGCATTTTCCTTTCCAACTTTTTTGGCTTTTCCCGTCTTCCCTCCTTGTGGTATATCCAACACTTGGAGTCTGAGTTTTCAAACTCAAACACTCTAGAAGTCTCCTAACAGCTTCCTTGCTCTACGCTGCTCCAGGAGGGTGAGTGACGAGCCCAAGGTCACACAGCCAGTCTTGGCAAAGCTGGGTCTGGAGGCCAGACCCCCGACTCTTAGTTCTGTTGATTGCCTCTCGCTTTCTGCTTGGTTTCAGGTGGGAAGGGAGGGCTGAGAGGCCAAACCTGTTTGATTTGCTCCCCCAAGAGTTGTCTCTTCCTCCACGCCCTGCCAGGCTCAGCTGACTCAGGCAGCTCTGCTTCTGTCCCTAGCCCCCCAGGTGGGAATCGCCCTGCCACCACCATTCTGGCCCTTCTTATCCTGCCCACCAGCCTCCATACAGCAGGACGGGTGGCAAAGGGATCTGGGTCCCCTCCCTGAGCCTCGGCAGGCAGGACTCACCATGGCCAGGACGCTGCCCGTGGCGGCTGCTGTCACTACTGCCAGCGACCAGAACAGGAACCTCCTCATGCCTGGAAGTCAGTGGCAAAGGCATCGACGAAGTAGCCCAGAGGATCCAGCCACCTCTCGGGGGAGCTGGGCCCAGACCAGCCTGGCCCATCAGGAGCACCAGATATACCTCTTCTGCAGCCCTTGGGGGGGTTTATTAAAGCAAGATCTGACGTCAGGGTTAAGGACAAACCCAGCATTTTCCTCTGAAAAAACTTTTCCTGCCTCTCTTTCTTTTTTTTCTTTCTTGCCTCTGTCCCCACCTCCAGCCCGAGCTTGGCCAGCCTCCCCGGCTCTGACAGTTCTTAAAGGGAAAGTTACAGGGCTGTGATTTCACACTGGGGTGTTAAATTCTCAGCGAGGAGCTGGGGTCATCCTGCTGAGGTGCTCACAAAGGTACGGAGGGGGACACGTGGGAGGGGCGGGTGGAGGCAGAGGTACAGTCACCCGGGGGCAGGGGCCGGGGCTCCCAGTGGAAAATAAGCTCCCTCTCATTTCTTTAGGCTGCTCCTACTTCTGGTTTTCATTTGTCGTCTTTCACTCCTCTGTCTCCCTAGCTACAGCAAAGGAGGAAGGCTTTCAGTCCACTATCTAGAAATGACAGGAATTCACAGATGAAATTAGCTCTGAGGCTCAAGTAATCTTCATCACCTTCACTACAAATTAAACCCATTTTTTTTAAACCCATTTTCAGGTTCCTCTTCTCTGCTCGTTAGCTAGAGGCCCTTTGGCGCTAGAGCTGTGTACACGTGTCTCTGGGCACTTTTCAGCCCCGATGGGTTTGGGATTCTTGCTGGACCATTGCCACGAAAGTCTCTTCCTTGTGCAAGAAAGGAGGTGAGGAGTCTTCTGGGGGGCTGATCTGCCGTAGTTCAGCCTCATCATCTCCACAGGGACCCCTGCGACAGCCTCCTGACTGTCTTCCAGGACAGTCCTCCCTTCCACCCCTGCACCCACATGTCTCGGCATGACCAGAGGGATCCTTGAACTAATCCTAGCACACACAGATCACCTCCCGGATACAATTTTCTAAAGGCTTCCCATTGCACTTAGTGTGGAATCCCCAGGGCTGGTGTGGCCTCCAAGGCCGGCTCCCCTCCGAACACGTCTCTTCACATGCTCCCTCTCATGCCCAATTTTCAGCCTCCATGGCCCCTCATAGTTCCTCTAACACCTCAGCAAATGCCCATCTGCGGGCCTTAGTAGGAATGCTCCACTCTTTGTTTAAATAAAAATCACTCCTTCTCTTCCCTTTTCCTATAGCTTAGTAACAGGAGGATGCTGAAGCATGTG